TCGCTGAAACTTATTAGGCCGACAGGATGCAGAGCACTTCTCGCAGCCATTGAAATCTGCGAAATGAGTCATTCCGCCTTTGACCAGTGGCACATTAGCGCTGCGATTGGCGTAACTTGCGTGTTTCTTCCCTCGGACGGTTCAGGGCTGTACAATCAAGGAATGTCGAACGTCTTGGGAGCGTGTGGGAACGTAGAGGAGGCTTGCATAACTCAAAAGCTCTACTATTTTGAGTGTTAACCTGAATTGTAATTAATGGTGCTACTTCTGTTGCTCAGAGCAGAAAGTTTAATGCATTATTTATCCATAGATTTGTGGTAGCCACTCGAGTGCATTTTACATAACTGAGGCCTTGTTTTCAGTCGATGCTTCTGGGCTTGTTCTGGTTACTTTGAGGCATAAGAAAGTTAATAGTTGGGCCAGTGCTTTTGTAAATATCAAGGGTATCATTGGATGCTGACTTGGTTAACCTAATGATTTTTTTTTCAAACCATTGGTATGTATGAGTTGATTAAAAAAAAAAAAGGCAGAGACTTCTTAAATATAGTCTGTTCTGAATTAAAGGGTGTGGTGTTGGCTCTGAATGAGCTTGATGCAGCAACAAGCATGCAGCAGTTGGTAAATAAAGATGGATTTTCTTTTGTTCTGCTGGTGCTTGCTGCTCATTATTCTCCACTTACCCCGTGAGCTTCCCAGGGAGTGGCAGCTGTTTCTGATGTTAGACACTCTATCAGTGGTAGACAGCTCCAGATTCGATGAGATACTGTTGTGGGGAGGAGAGGGAAATAACCTAACCCTGCATTATTTTAAATCCTCAGTAGAATTAACTTCTCATGAACCAAAGGAGTTTTGTGTTTAACTTTTTCTGAAATGTTCAGGCGTAAGTGTGCTTTGCAGTGTGTGTTACTGTGAAAAAGCTTTTCTGGCATGAGATGGGTTTACATTCTAAGTGTGTGTTAAGTATTTTAATGTGCAGTGTGTGGGGGCAGACACAAGACAATAAAGGGAAATCGGTCTATAACAATCTTTGGGTATATTTCCAGATATATACAGTTTGGGAATCTTTGCAATTTGGAAATTGCTTGGAGTAAACAGAATGGTACATAAAGATTTTAAATAATAAAGCTAGCAAGCTACAGAGGAGTCTGTTTGGTTCCAGGATTTTATATGTAGGATTTATAACCCATGCTTTTGCTTTCCTGTCTCTGCAGTGTTAGCATTCTGTTACTGAAAACAAAGAAGGCTCTGCCAGGGCATTACACAAGCAATGAATCACAGAGGAAAAAATGTTTTGCTTTGTAAATTGTTCACTTTTCCATGGTGGATCATTATTATTATTATTTTTTTTTTAGTGTTGTCTGATAGAATTTGCCACACATGCTTGGATTTACTGTACTCAGTACAAGTCTTCTAGTGTGACTGCATAACTACTATTAGTGACTTAAGTAACTTCTTGCTTATGATTCTTAAAAACAAAACCACAACAGGAACAAAAAACACAGGGCAAAAATTGAAACAGCTCAGTTCACTCTTCAGGCATGACAGCTTACTGAGTATATCAGAGGAAGGAAAAGGTGTTAATGTTTTTCAGTCAGCTTTGTCCTGGCAGTTCCACGTAATTATTTTTTGTCTCTATTAACAAACTCCTTTTCTGCCTAAAATACTCCTATTTGCTGTGAGGATCAATGCGTTCCTCCTCACAGGGTGTAGGAAGTTTATATAGTGTTTTAGCTAATTATAAAAATATAAACTTGTTTCTTAAGAATATGCACGTTGTATGTTTTCTCAATGACTGTGTTGGTGAATCTGTGTTTCAGAACTTCTGTAGAGGAACGATAGTTTGCTCAGGCTTGAATGTAAAATTATACTTAGGTTGGGAAGTCACACACCAGGCAATGTCTTGCCACTTTGCTGCAAGATGCAGAAGTATAACCCCAGTGTGTTATATAGTAAAATTTATACCACAGATGCTGCAGCGTGCCTCATACTGTCCTTGGCAAGAGCAATAATCAATAATATATGTTTGCTGTATTACAGGATTCATTAAGCTCCAGACATGTGGAAAAAGAAGTTTAAAATCATGTAACTTACTTGCAAATTAAAAAGGTGGATCAGGATCCAGAACCAGCTAAAGTAATGGATAAGGGAAGGTCCAAGTAGAATGGTCCTTGCAAAATGCCTGGCAGTAATGAAATCCTTGATTTTTGACACAGAAAGAGTGAAGGAAGAGTGAGTGTGGAGGAGGATGCTGTGTATGTATAGAAAACACCATTTTAAAGACTATGTGATTAATCCTGTTAGATGAAGTGTTTCTAACAGAGAAACGGATTGGTGGAATAAAGCTGTAAAAGTATGAGCGCCAAACATAAGCATCGCCTCTAAGAGGAAGTCTCTTGTACAATGTGATTTTGTGTAAAATTATGCATACTTCACTGAAAATAACTAGATAGTAATTTCAGAATCTGCAAAAAATAAATGTCTCCTCTGTAATACTGACGTGGAAGATGTGTAGCATAGATTAGGAAGTAAGGGAAATGGAAACTCTTTGTCTTGCCCCTCTTCAGATATTTTTCATCCCATCCAATCTGGATTTAGTCCTAAATGCGGGTATGCTAAGGGGTATGAAATGGTTCCTGGGTCTGCTTTATGCAAGAAGAAAATGCCAATGAGTCAGGTATGTAACAGTACGTTCCAACATCACGGTAGTCTGGGCAGCCACCTCCCCGACCTGCTTACCTGGCAAACCTCTCAGCAAGAGCTAGGCTGAGCATGCCATGTATCTTCTTGTCCCTGTAGTCACATCTGTGGTGTAATAGTAATGAGACTGGAGTAACCTCACTGATCTGGGCTGAGTTGGACTGGTAATTTAAATGTTAAAGGCTTCATAATCTCCTACTGATCCCAGAAAGTTTTCAGCTTTTAATTAAGGTCAGAATTAAAAAGATGATGACAACAAAACCACCTACATTTACTGCCTTGCTTATAAATGTTAAGCCATGACAGCTATAGGTGAGTTCTTCTGAAATTTCTAAAGCGACGATGACATTTTTGTAAACCCCTTATAGGTTAGTATAACACCTGCAGCTGTAACAGACGTCTCCCAAAGAAAGACTGAGAAGGTTTGTGCTCATTCCTTTTCCTCTCATCTTGCCTTGCACCCTGTTTCATCAGTGGAAATGTGTGTTTTCTGCAGACATGGCTGCTGTTGGAAAGGTAGCTCTGCATCACTCTCTCCTCTGGTTTGGTAGCTCTTAGTTTATCGCTTTAGATTAGAAAATGAAAAGCCTACCAAGGGCTAAACAAGCGAAAGCAGCAGGTCGGGGTACATGCACCCATGGCCTCATGGCGTGGGTGTTGGCGTTACTTGTGCTTCTGTGTGCAGGAGAGAAAAGTATGAGCCTGAACGGAGGAGAAATGACACAGCTGGTGCCCGAAGCAGGTTGAAACTGCAGAAGGAGAAGGAGTTCTGTGGGGAGAGGAAGGAGGCAAAGCAGCTGCAGGGGAGTTCCTGGGGCAGGGTGCACATCGCTGGGAGAGAAATTGCCAGCAGAAGTGAGCCAAGCAGCAGGAAGAGAGGGTGTGAGTGGAGCCTGGGAGAACAGGAGAGCAGCAGAAGGTTGCCAGAGCCGATAAATCTGGGGAGCTTTTTCTTCTCCCTGCTCTTGGTGGTTGGTTGAAGAGCTTGCCAGCAGGTGAAACAGTGGGCACTGGGTACCAGCCACTGCAAGGGCAGCCTCGCGGGGAACACAGGCGATCTCCTGCTGCGGCAGACGGGAGAGAAGCTTGGCTCCTAGTCTGCTGCCTCATCCCTCTCCCTGATGCTGAACGAAGAAACGAGAAACCATACCGGAGGGAGGAATAGCTGCTGCCCAGCTGTGGGTGTTTTGTAGTGAATGCTGTGTTAAAAACTTTCTTTAAAGCGGTTGTTGTCATGGGGAGCAGAGTTGGAAAAGTGTGGCTGGTACCCTGATCTGAATACCACCTTGAATGAGGCTTTTATGATTCAGTTGAATAGGTCCTTGTAGGACCTAGAGGCACAGCTTGACACCATGTAAAGCTATTTGAGGTTCTGGAGAGACTGCCTGAGAAGAGGACAACATGGCAATGAGCAAAGGGGGAAACTGAGGCACATTGATGCAGTGACCTAGAAGAGCCACAGGTGGAAACCCCTGTCTTCCTCCCTGAGGCTCAACTGGGTAAATCCAGTAAATAACTGAGGTTTTGATGAACTCTCTATTCTGTGGCTGGAGATTTTGAACGTGGCTGTAACACAGTCACACGACTTGCTACCTGCGCAGGGTGCTCGGATGAACAGTAGCATGGTGTGAGCAAGGGATTTTTTCTCTGACAAAGGTGGAATATCTTTCAGAATAGGTGTTTGTTTTCTTCCGTGTGGTGGCTATACATCATCCAGTGTTTTCCCCTTCATATTGTGATATATCATCTCGTGTTTCATGCTTGAGATATTGTGAGAGGAGTGAGTGATGTTATGTAACTTAAGCAGAGAATTATCTTCTCTTCTAAAAGTGACTGTTGGTTTGATAAAGCAGTTGACTAATTAGTAAATTACCCATTGTTGTTTAAAACACTTGCGCTGCAAAATGTAAATGAAAAAAATTTCTCCACTTGTCAGTATGAAAAATGACAATAGAAAAAATAATACATAGGACATCTGCTCTGATTTTTTAAAAATTTAAAATGCATTTAAGGCAGATGTTGCAGAATTTGAATGGAAATCGGAGTAGATGGAAGAACAAAACGTAGCTGTTTACCTTCTATGAAGTCCCATTTTTGTGGTTAACATCACTAACAATATCTGACTCAGTGCCTGCATTTTTCCACTGTTTGTATCAGAATGAACTGAATGTTCTTAAAACTGCTGCTATGTCAGGATGACATACAGTTTCAGTACTTAAAAAAAAAAAAAACAACTAATTGTGGGCAAGTCAGTATTTTGGGGTGTTTTCTGATGATCTCTCCCATAATTTCTTCCCAGGAGAATACATAAAAACATGGAGGCCACGGTATTTTCTTTTAAAGAATGATGGCACATTCATTGGCTACAAGGAGCGACCGCAGGATGTTGACCAACGGGAATCACCTTTAAATAACTTCTCAGTAGCTCGTAAGTGTTTTTACGTGCTCCCTCATCCAATCTGAGGGTCGATGTCTTCTTGTGGTCATAGCGCCGGTAAGCTGCATCAGTAACATTTGAATCTGCCCAGAGTGATGTATCTGAAGAGTAAATGTGTTTATTTGAGATGATAAAACCGCTCTGTGTTTCTCAGGAACAACTGTGATGCGGAGGTTTGATGCTCTATTTTTTTTTTCTTTTTTTCTTCCTTTTTTTTTTTTTCTTTTTCAGTTTTCCTCTTAATTTACTGTTTCTGGTGATAGAAAAAAATGGATTTATTTGTCAATATTTTTTATGGCTGTTATTCAGCAAGTTGCTTTAAAGGGAAAATTAAGCTAGGTGCATGTCTCGGTCCTTGGCAGATAGGCACAGCCGCAGCATTTCGGCCTCTGTTCTGCCACCAGTTCTGGATTCAAGTGGCACTGACATAGGTCAAAGTTATTTGATTGTTAGCGTAAGAGAACATGGAGTGAGCACTGCTTTTAATGAAAGACACTGAAGTTTTTCTTCATTTTGAACACAAAACCCTATTTCTTCTATTAGAGCCAACACAAAGATTTGGAAATCAACAACAGCTCTGCACTCTGTCCTGTGCTAACATTTCCGACTTCGCTCAGGTGCTGCAGCACAGAATGTGATAGAAGAATCTGAAGATTATTTCCTTTTCTTGCTCATGTTTTTAGCCTTTCACTGTATACTTTCAGCTTTTATTTTCTCCTGTTCTTAATCTTTCCTGTCTCATGGTCTGCCTGTGTCTTGTTCCACCACTTAAAAATAGATCCTTGTGGCACCTGTTATTAACAATGATCTGTTCCATGTTCCTGATGACTGGTGGAAGTGAAGTTCTGCAGAAAGAAGGGCAGAGGCTTTCTCTCTTCGTTACAGGGTAGCTTGAAATATATGGGGTTCATCTTTGTAGTTGACCTTTAAGCAGACAGATTTATTTTGGAACACCCTGGGCCTGGAAGAGGGCTGGGCAGCACTAGGAATTAACACAAATGTTCATTTTTTTCCACTGGTAGCAACATATAACTGTTCTGACTGATGATGGGAATAAATAATGGACGTGCTGTTGCCTGGAGCCTCTGTGCAGCATGCCAAAAGTGCTTTGGGGTTTTTTTTGTGTCTTGTTTTAGGGAGAGAATTGTTGTAGAGTTTTCATTTCAGTTATGACATGCTACTTTCCTCTTTAGACTGGTATCTCCTTATGGATCAAGAAGGTAAAGAAAAGCAGCAGAAAACCATTAATTCATAAATTAATTCAGTACTTGGTCTGTAGCCAGACGCTTTTAACAAATGCACTTTTTGCAGGACTCTTCCATCCTGTTGCTGCTAACTGCATTACTTATCATAATTATTTACTGCAGCTCAGTGCTAAGGAGTAAAAAAAGATGTGTCCGTTACCTTCTCTTTGTCCAAGTTGCCTTCAGAAAGGGTTAACTTAAATCAGTTTTCACAACAGGAATATGCTGCTTTTTTTGGCAGATTGAGCCTATCAGTCTTGACATTTATAGATAAACAAGATTGTTACCATGGTATCGGAGCATTGTCAAAGAAGACACGACACATGCCTATACAGTAAGGTGTAGCTCCCATAGGAGGGATGGCAGGGAGGGTGGTGGGTGGAAGGATGATCCTAGCAGTGGCTTTTGCCTGGTGAACCAGTGGCAGGTTGGGGAGGCTTCCTTGCTGGGAGTCATTACTGTGGTTTGGGGCTCACTGAGGCAGCTGTTGCCCCACCAAGATTTAATTTCTCATGTAGGCACTGGCATGCAGTGCTGCCAGCACCTGATGTGCGGTTCCCTTCTGGGTACTCTCAACACTTGTATTGTTTGGATGCGTTTTGCACCACAGGTTTTCCCTTTGAACTTGCTTGCTTGGTACTTTTGTTTGGGTTGACTTGTCGAGTAAGTGTGAACAAACTCGAGCTGCGGCTGGAGGAAGGCTCAGGCCAGAATGCAGCCTCGTGCTGCAGAGGCACCCTGCAGAAGCCTCCTGCCAGGGAAAAGTGGGGGGAATTTAGCTTAAATGTTTTGTAAAAATTAATCCTTTTTTTTTTTTTTCTTTTTTTCCGTCCCAAGAGACCATGATAGCCCTGAATTTTTGTTAATTAGTGAACTAGATTTTTTTTTTTTAATGAGGTGGCAGGCTGTCTCTGTCAGTCTGTTGTTTGGAAGTGGTCCCATGTTTCTGATTAAAATCTTTGCCCTCTTTTGCTGTAAAATAATGTAGGCTTTTTTATCTTTGCAAGTAAAAGGTTTTTTTTCTGCTTAGAGGACTCTTCCTAAATTGATATTGTGATTTTTGCCAACCCATGAGAGCTAGGAAATACTCAATTCAGGAGAATTGAGTGAAAGAAGATAACATCTAATGATGATTTGTCTTTTCCCTTAACAAGTGTGAAGAAAGTATTAGCAATAAATACAGTCTGCTTTCCATGTGCTTGACGGTCTCTTCTTTCTCCTACGCTAGCCTTTTCCTTTCAGTCTGTGAAGGTTTTGATCGTACATCTTTGAAAACTTGTTTATAGGGTTGCCCATGGGTAAAGAGAGGCTCACTTTTTAAAGTATCTTTTTCTCTGCCTAATTTTCCATTTAAAATAGCCATATATCTATGCTTGTAGTTTAATGGTATGTTTAAGGAGTTTGTTTTCCCTGGAAATTACCTATTGGTGATTTATTTAAAGAACAACCCAAATAAATAAGGCAAAACTTTAGAAAGATGGTGGATGTGCATTTAATTGCAATTTTTGAGCCATATTTGTGTTTGTGTTCTGTATTTCACCACTAGTAAGATAGAAGGAATAAAAAAGCCTGTACGTAAATAGTCCTGCTCTAAAGACCCTGCACATAAATAACCAATAGAGCCTGTGTTGTAAATCTGCGAGATAAGTAGCCTTCATACCGATTGTAATCTCGGATTATCATGTATGTCTGCCTATTAGGTTATAAGCCTTTAAAACCATATAGCTGAGAAGAGCAGTATATTGTGAAAAACCACATGGAGAGAGAGGCTATTCCTGTTAGAAAGAAGGGATTATTTCTCTGACTGTCAAAAAGGAGGGTGGACTGTGGTGGTTTTGTTGTACAGCTGAAAACGTAATTGCTCAACAATATGAGTGCTCCTTTTGGGACAGGACTGCGTGTCTGCAGTCAGGCATTTATCATGGGGCACGGGATGGCCAGATAGCGGAGAGATTTTCTGTGTCTGCTGTTACTAGGGGCCACCTTAGTCCAGCTCTGTAACTCAGGGCGCCCAGCTCCTCCTCACTTTCGCCACGTTGAGCTGTTTGGGGGCAAATCTGTCTGATGGTGCTAGCAGAAAAGGAGCATTTTAACATAATATTCCTGTTTGCCTTTCCAAAGTTTTATTTATTCATAATTTTTCTTGCCTGATTTACCTTTTATTCCCCTCCTTCGTTAAGGAAAGCAAAGCAGGAACGGGAAGGATTCTTCCTTGACATTATTGTTTTAAGTGTGATATCATTATATAGGGAGCAGAGTTTGACACTTTCATCGCGAGTAATCTGCCTTTTAGCTTAAGTGCTGGGGAAGCAAATATTGTGACATTTTGGAAAGTCACTGGGATAATACTAAGTGTCTTTCAAATACAAAATGGTAATTTACATTTGAATGCCTTGGTGTCTATTCCGGTTAGGAACAATTTCTCTGTCCTACTTACTTTAAAAGACCAAACGCCAGTAAAGAATCAAGAGGTTCTTTAGAGCAATTTAAATCATTTTTAACAGGCTTCTGTTTACAGTGCTTACTTTATTGCAAATGGAGAATACTTTTGTTGTCCTGTTTGACAGGAAAAAGTGTCTTCAAAGTAGGTAAGCGACCCTCGGCCGATATTTGAAATGTGAATGCTTTTATAGCAGAACCCCCAAACATGCCATGAATCAAACCTAATATTATACAGCATCTGTGTCAGTGCTCTGCTCTAGTGGTGCATGTTGCAGTACATGATTATAGAAGGTAAGTTTGGTCCTTCTCTAGCTTGCCAACTATAGTAAGGAGCACAGAGTCGGTTTTAAAAGTAAGAAAAAACTTGCTGCTTCATCGTTTCATTGATAAAATCCATGTGATTGTCATATATGGGGAGAACTAAGTGGTAGTGTCAAACTTTCTGAAACCTATTGTGGTACAGCACTTTGGTAAAGCAATTTAAAAATAAAGCCTTCTGTATTTCTTTATATGTGCTGTTATGATTGAGCAGGGTAATTAGACAGCATATTGTTCACTAAACAAAACACTTCTATGTGACATACTTGAATTATAGTGGTTATTAACTGACAAATCTCTATTATTCATCTTGCTGTAAGCCTTAAAGATTGCTGGATCAGCAAGCTTAACAAATATCAATGGACAGTGCTGATTTAGGGGAAAAGTGGTGAGGTTTAATTGGTCCCCTTCTATGACAGAAAATGCCTCGTGTGGTTTATTATGCTGAAATTAAATGGTTAAAGTTTAGAGTTCATGGGTAGTTTAAATATCTGTGCTGCTACTTCAGAATACTTAATCTGGGGCACTAAATGTGAATCTAAAGGCTGTTTTAAAAATTAAGCAAAACCTCTCTGTATTTCTTCATCATGTTGCACTTCTGGATAAGTATAGGAGAACAGCTCTGCATTTGCATGAGGTTAGAAATAGCCTGATTTTCTTCGTTGAGTCTTCGTCCAAATACGTTATCTGTTAGGGCTGCATTGTGCAGGTTCACAGAGCACAACCCCAGCTTTCATCTAATCACATTAAGCAGGCAAAAATGGGAGATAGAACAAGGAAAGCACACAATAAAAGAAGCAGCAGAGTTAAAGTGGAC